ATAGATAGATAGATAGATAGATAGATAGATAGATAGATAGATAGATAGATAGATAGATAGATAGATAGATAGATAGATAGATAGATAGATAGATAGATAGATAGATAGATAGATATAGACAAACAGACAGATAGACATTGATAAATGGTGTTGGCGATTGTGGGTTTTGATGTGGCAATCTAATTTTCAAAAGATTTCGTACATCTACATGTAGCCACACACCAAAAAATAAGTCTGTAGCTCACTTATTTTTCCAAGTTCTCACACTCGCAAGATGTGCAAACAGAAATATGGTATTTCAAATTACCCTTCCATGATGGGGGACAATAAAAACAGCTGTTTTTTTCCCCCATCTTTGATATTTTTCATGTTAATATAGCTTGAATGTGTTGCATGAATGAGATAAAAGGCTAAAAGTCATTTTGCAAACATCATACTTCCAATTAAAACCCTATGACTGTGTTGTTCGGTGTTGAGAGCACATCAATAAGGCTCGAGGTTTTATAATCCTGGTGAGGGATTGAGGGTTAGAGGTTTGTTCAGCATTGGTGTAAACACTGAGCTGCAAGTGGGGTCATGTCTTCTCACCCTCTGCTGATATTGCTGATGCTCCTAGTTTCCTCTTAGATAAGACTTTCCTGTCTTTATATAAAGTCTTCAGGCAGTCATGTGGTCTTTGATCGTGAGAAGGGCAAAGAAACTAAAAACAGACCTGTGACCGTGTCTCTGTCTCACACATATTGACCTCGGACCCGTTACACAACCTCAGGCTGTCAGGATGATGGAGAAACACAGCTGACTGTGTGTACACGTCTAAATCAGTAAGTGGAGTCTGACACCATTGGCAGGATGCTCATGGCTCTGTGCCCGGGCTGTTGTGTTTCAAATCATTGCCGTGGTTCCTTTCCGCCAACCCAACATGCGTCAGAGTCATTGAACACCACATTAAACCTAATACACCTAGCTGGATCACCACCCCGACATGAATCCTGATCCTGGAGTTCTGTGTTGTCTGGCGTACCAAACACTGGCAGAGTCTCTTATGGCAAATTGGTTTCAGAATAAGAGCAACTCAAAAACTCACATTACATGACAAACATTACTAGGACCAGAGACAGGCCTCTGCAGAACAAAGCACAGGTGTCTCAGTTGGTCCTGACCCCTGGCTGGCAGGAAGTGCCACATGGCACCCTGTAGCAAGCATAAGCTCAAATAAATAACAGTACAACATTCAAAACATTCACACGCTGCACCAAAGTTAGATTGCATCATCGCAGAATCTTTATCTGCTAACTTTTAACCGCTCAATGAGAGGAGGGAATTTGTTTTTCTCCAGATACTCCTGGTGTCAGTGAAGAGTTCCAGAATGGTTAGAAATCCTGCCCTAGGAGCTTTTAATGATCTTCTCGTCACTGTTGACTCAGGTTTATCTGTCCTTTGAGTTCGTTTAGATTCAATATCTGCCTTAGATTCTGTCGATCACAGCATTCTTTGGTCAAGAGTCAGACATGTTGGTCTTAAAGAAACCTGGCTTAAGCTATGGATGGACGAAAGACGGATGGACAAACAGGTAGATAAATGAATATTTAGAAAGTGACAACACAACAAAGACCTACTGTGGTATAATCACCTTCCTTGGCAAGACCAGTAGACTGTTTGGAGATCAAAGCCTGGTCCTAACATGGTGGAACATTGTTGTTGGGTTATGGGCAAGGCCTCATTTGACCTGGATCCTGCCGGAACCGGATCTGGGAACTCTTATTTTGACAGGGTGCTTTCCGGTAACCGTTTGCTTGGATCTGGTAACTCTCAGGTATACTAATAATAAAGTTATGAACAAATATGGCTGCCTCGAACAAATAAAAATTATATTGGATACTGAAAATAATTACATAAACACTCATTTTAAACACAACAGCCACTTAAAAGCTTCTTAATATCACATAAGAGCTGCCTCTTCAAGTAAGCATTTCCAGCCTCTGGAAAAATCTCGGCTCGTAAAAGAGTGGTGGGGGTGAGTGCTGAGCTAACCAGGCAGTCATACACGGGCAGGAGCCCACAGACAACTGCCATGAACAGATGGAGGAATCGGGCTCAGAACTGTCGGGGGGGGGGAGTAGGATGCTTGACAGAAGTGGAGTGTTTGCAAATGTAGGTAAACACAGATGTTTAACAACACATTAAAATACACTAAAATGCAGAAAATTGCATCTACTTTATTAAAAATTTTCTGGGGGACAACCCCCCAGACCCCCCAACCCCCCAACCCACCGGCCCGCCTACTATTTGTGTTTTGGCATTGATCGGTTTACAAATTAAGCCCTGCTTATGGATCAGGGATCAGGTGGGGGCTGAAGGTCAAGGGCCAGGTTTAAGGTGTGGATTGAATTTAGGGGCATTTCATGAGGCAGATCAGTTGAGCTTTGAGTTTTAAAACGACACACTTGGTGTTTGCTTGTTGGACTTGGAGAGTCATACCAAGCTGGCTGAGGTCCAACGGGGTCCAATGAAGACCGATGGGACAAGAAGAAGACAAGGATCGAATGCTGACTCGGCCGTGGCTGTCCAAACCCCACAAAGCATCATGGCAGGCAGACAGGTGAGCCAACTCCATCTGAGCTCACAGGTAGAGGAGACAAGAGGAGCACAGAACCATCAGAGAGGGACCAGAAACCAGTAGAGATGGAAGCAGAGACCCTGCAGGTGCTTTTACCTCAGGTGGAAGAGAGATGGAGGAGGGGCGAAGTTCTCCATCCAGATCTCGAACACAGAACAGGTCCTTTCTGCTTTGAGCCAACCACAGGAATGTACCTGAAACACAAGAAACACTGAGAAAACTGTGTCAAGCTGCTGAGATCAGGGTTTGGTCCAGGTGTGTTACCTTCACCGTGACAAACAGGTGAAGATGTGATGAAGGTCCACCTGGTGGCTGAGACTGTTCCTCTGGGGACGACATTCTGCCAGAAAGTTCCTGATAACCCACAATAAAAATGTATTTAAGAAGCGACAAACAAAAACAAACCGAACTGCTCTGCGGTACTGGACTACTGACCCACGAGGCTGCCGCGGGCCAGGTGCACCTGGTTCTGTCCTGAGGCCACCCAAACTCCACTCCCGTTGGCACTGACAAGGCTGGGCTGGCACTGCGAGTACTGTGACAGAAAGGCAACCACCCGGTCCATCGGCGCTCTGGTTACCGTGGCGATGCTCTGTGTGGCCTGCAGCAACGTCTGGAAGAAACTGCCCTGATCGAAGACCACGTAGTCCGAAATACTGATCTGATGGGGAAGATAAGAACCGTGGAACCAGAACCAATGGTTGCTCAACCCAAACATCACACAAAACCCAACACTTGGACCAGATATGAAGGTCTTGGTGAAGATGTTTGCAGCTGGACTCCATACCTGCCACCAATGGTTGTCGCTGCCCTGCGGTTTGGATGAACAGATGCCAGTTCGAAACCAGAGGCTGCCGCTGGCATCTAGTGCCCAGACGGTTCCACCGTCTCCCAGAGAAATACAGATCATCTCCAGACCCTGAGCTTCACTGCACCACAAACAGACAGAGGGTTTGAAACGCTTCGCTCCAGGAACCACAGAGGGTTTAAACACCAAACATAAATACAGTGAATGAAGTGTTAGCTTCATGCTAACGTAAAATACAGACTATGACATATTCATATGAAAAGATTGGATCGTTAACCAGAGAGCTGAACAAGAGCTGAAATCTGCTGAAGTACCTGAAAGGTTTAGCCACACCAATAATAATAATAATAATAATAATATATATATATAT